TTAGCTACCATATATTATCTAATAAAAAACATTTACCTTACCGTGAAATTTTAGAAATGTCGAGTTATGATGTTAAAAAACTTTAGCTAGTAACAACATAGTGGTGTTTTTTTGTTACTATGTGCAAAAAAGTTTATTTGTGAACGTTGGAAATGTATGGTAGCTTTGAACTTAAAACGCAAAGGTTTACCCAAGGACAATCGGAAAACCCAATGTAACTACATTTAAAGGAAGTAATTCTTTGAATTGTCGGCAATAACTAAATTTTTAATTGTTGTAAAGTTTGAATGTGAGCTTCTGTTTTCATAGAACGCAAGCGCCGAAACAATTACAAGTAGTTCTTTTGATACCAATGTCGTTAAGGCTCATTGGTAAAACCGATGAAGTTAGATCCCAGTCTGGGGAGATATTAGTTTAGAATTTCTAATTGAAATTCTTTTTTTTTTTAATTAGTATATTGTTCATGTATTATTGTAATAATATCTTATTGAGATGTATCTAAGAAAAGCAAGGGAATGTTATCTTTTTTTTTTGTTAATGAAAATTATTATTAAAGTAGGTTAGTTGTTAATAGATATATCAGTCAAGTTGGTTATCTGTGATGTTGTATTGTTCTTGGTATCTGATTTAAGTAAGAATTGGTATATATCGCTTAGATTCTCAATGTCACTCTTAACATTGATGGAAAAATCATTAAGGAAAATATAAGACATTTCAATGAACTCTCTTTTCGATTTATTGCTCTCACGGTGGAGAATTGTAGTGTTCGTATAGTCCATGTGATGACCAGTGGAATGGACATGTTTGGCTAATGCACAGCGATCAGGGTGAAGTCGAGAATCACTTTTGTGTAGTGTAATACGTGATTTCAATAATTGAGATGTTTGGCCGATGTAGGAATTGTTGCAAGAGAGGCATGGAATGTTGTAGACAATATTACTAAGCCTATCTATGGGAGTCTTATCTTTTATCTTCGAATAAAGATTATTAATTGTTAGGGCTGATCTACAAGCCACATTAAGTTTAATGTTATTATTATTATTAGAAAAGTTATTTTCAAAACTTTTTAGAATCCTTCTAGAAAGGATTCTAGAAGAAAGAAATGAAAAACAACAAATCGCCTGGAAAAGATGGAATAACTGCAGAGATGCTGAAATATGGTGGAAAAGTAGTAATTAATATTCTACATTCCCTTTTTGACAAGATATTAAAAGAAAAAAGAATCCCAAACAACTGGAAGGAATCAGTAACGATTATCCTACACAAGAAAGGAGATAAAGCAGATATAAAAAACTACCGTCCTATAACACTTCTCAATGTAATGTACAAACTCCTAACAAAAATTTTAACCAAAATTCGATGGATACCAGTCGAAAGAACAAGCTGGTTTTAGAAAGGGATTCAGCACAAGTGACCATTTACTAAGTATGAAAATACTTATAGAACCAGCAAATGAATACCACATTCCTCTATATATGGCGTTCATAGATTTCGAAAAGGCTTTCGACATTGTCGAACATTGGGCAGTGAAAAGTTCTTTGATTAGTTCTTTGATGATATCAAGAAGCACGTGGGCTCTAGATGGATGACTGTAGCGACAGACAGAGAAGAATGGAAAAGGATTGGGGAGGCCTATGTCCAAAGAGGGACCGAAGACGGCTAATTAGATAGACAGGGTTGGAACAGATAAAAGTTATCAATGGCAATATTTTTGAAATGTGTTTGTAAATAAAAACCAAATAATTATAAATAAAAGTAACTAACGCAAAAAAACATATTACAAGTTACTACTTTCAAATTCCATGTGATTGCTTAGAAGAACTTAGAAATAATTGCAAGATTCTCTGTTAAGTATTGGAAAAAATGGTTATAAAAAAATTATTTTTGGAACAGAAGAAGAAGACTAAATACTACTAATGCTAAATAATGAGCAAACAGAAGACTCATTGATCGGAAGTCTTAAGATGGTACATAGATGGTGATATTATCAAATAATATAGTCTTTTACAGCATGATTAAGAAAAAATGTAAATTAGATTAGTGTGACATCAAACTAAGTGATTTTTATCAATAAATATCATTGTTATGTTATGACAAATGCACAGCAGGAAATCACAATCAGGGTAAACTACATAGAAAGTCCATGAATCAATTTTATCTTCCCATTTTGCGTAAACACCGACGAACGCAAAAATATTTGTTTATAATTAAACATTTTTCCGCGTTACTTTGTATTTTAAAGTGTCACCAAAGAGCTAGTGGGAACTATCAAACCACAAAATCTTTACCCATCAAGCGGTTATCCGATGATAATAGATCTAATGTTTACGTTGAATCGGTATTAATATTACCTAAACACGGTAGTGTCATGTCATTGAATTCAAACGCCAATTATAGGCCAATTGGGCATACATAATTAATATGGCTGTATTAGTGGTGGTAAAATATTAACGTTAACAACTGTTGCTTCTCTATTATAGTGCAAACACTGGTTTGCCGAGGAGAGTCTAAATTAACCGCTGAAATCTAATTACAAAAAGCTTCAATTATAATTCTTCAATATTTGATTAATTAATATAGAAACAAAAGTATAAAAATTTAAATATTTCTTTATTAAAACTATACCGGACTAGATCAAAACACTTTTCGACATATTATTTATTTTTCTCTCCAACTTTGGTTTTTCTTCTTCTTCTTAGCCTTCTATTGTCCATGTTTGGACATAAGCCTCTCCCAACTCCTTCTGTCGGTCTCTATCCTGAGCAACATATTTTCGATTTGTTCCGGCTATTGTAGTTTTCCAACGTTGGTCTTTTTGTCTAACAGTCCATTTAAGTTTGGCAATTTTTTGTTGTTATGTCCTCGACTTTTGTTTTTGATCTTACCGAATCTTTCCTCTTTTTATCTGACAGTCGTATACCTAACATTGCTCTTTTCATTGTTCTTTCTGTTGTGGCTAGTTTATTCATGTTTGCCTTCTTTAGGGTGCAGGTTTTACATCCATATGTCATGCTAGGAAGGATGCATTGGTTGAACCTTTTGCTCCTCAAGTATGGGAGTATTTTGCGGTTCTTAATTATCCAACACTGAACACTGGATGACAAATTAATAACGGATAATATAAAAGTTAAACGAGAAGTCCGACAAGGCGATATAATTTGACCTAAACTGTTTACCTTGACCCTCGAAGACATAATAAAATCAACAGATTGGGAAAACAGAGGAATATGTATTAACGGAAAATACCTAAATCACCTTAGATATGCGGATGATATACTCCTGATCTCCTCGGAACGACAAGAACTGGAATTAATGCTGAATTAACTTCATGAAAAATCACTGCAAAAAGGCCTAAAAATTAACTTTAACAAAACAAAAGTAATAACAAACACGGAAGACCAAGAGGCAATAAAATACGAACAGAAAAAATAGAACAGGTAAATGAGTATATCTATCTAGGACAAGCAATCAGAGCTAACAGAGAAAATCAAACAGCCGAAATATCAAGACAAGTAAGAATGGAATGGGCAGCGTTCGGCAAACTTTCTTACGTTCTAAAATATCAAACAATCCCTCTATACTTACGAAGAAAGGTATATAACTCCTGTATAATACCGGTGCTCACCTACGGAGCACAGACATGGACATTTACACAGGCCAATTTGGATAGGATAAGGAAGGCCAAAGAGCGATGGAGAGACAAATGTTAGGTGTATCACTTAAAGATAGAAAACGTAACCAGTGGATCAGAACCAGAACAAAGACAGTAGACGCGATAGAACAAGCAGCAAAACTAAAATGGAAATGGGCTGGACACAATGAACGTTTCCAAGACGGACGATGGAACAATGCCATCGGAAAGTGGCGTCCATACAATGCAAAGAGATCAAGAGGCAGACCACAGATGAGGTGGGAAGATGACATCAGGAAACAAGGAGGTTCCACGTGGCAGAGAACAGCTCAAGATTGGGAAAGATGGAGAGAACTGGGGGAGACCTATATCCAACAATGGAAGGATAGAGAATAGGTTCAAAAAAAAAGTATCCAACTAAGTTTTCCAAATCCTGTCCATGCTAGTCTTGCTCTTCAAGTAATTTCCGCAATTTGGTTCTCTTTGTCAAGTTTCAGGATTTGGCCAGTAGATTCTGGACTTCAGTAGATCCTGGACTTGTTCTTAACTTAACCATTCTATGTCTTTATTCTCAACTATGGCATTATGGCATTTTTTCATAATGCTTCAATTTTCGTACTATTAAATGTTAGTTCTTGGTTAGATGTAGATAAAATATTTGATCAATAAAAAAATATGGTACACAGTTTTATCAATATTACCAAATTTAGTTATTTTTATTTTTTATTTATCATTTTCAAGTACTTTCTGAAATCTCGTTGGACATAAAAAATTAAAAAAACTTAGGGTTTAAAAAATCGCTTTACAGTTTACCATAAATACTACAACCAGTCTTTCATGACTTTTTCCAAAACTTTTTGTCAGGTTTTTTCTTTACAAAACTTTTTGTTGGTATGCCGCTAGGAGGGGTGAATAAACTCGCTAGTGAAAATACGATAAATTTACCAGGTAGATTTGTAACGGTTGCGTTTGTGAACATCTGTTCATCCCTCTCTTCTGGTTTGAAGGTAATTCAAGGCAATTCAGGTAGGTATTGTGTTGTCATAAACGTCGACTTTAATATTTTTATCTTCTGAAAAGGTGCGAATGTTTAATAATTAAAAACCAAGTCAATTAAGTGTTAACAATATTGGCTAGATTTAAAATGAGTCTACTTTCAAAAATTTGGTGTCTAAACGTAAAAGTGGATATAGTTTTTCAATTATTTAAGTTGTAGTCCATCCCATAGTCCACTTAAAATGTCCAACATCTAACACAAAGCGATTACGTATCAATTGTTCTTAAAATCTTAAGAGACATGGCTAAAATTATATAACAAAAATTATAATTCGACCCAATCAAATCTAATAAAATATTTTTTTCTTTCCAGAGAGTTCTACTACATTCAAATGGAAAAGTACGCAAGGCAAGCTGTTTCCGAGGGAGTGAAAAATGCGGATGATCTCCATGTTGGCGGTGATTCCGAATTGTACAGGGTGCTCAACTTGCACTACAATAGAAATAATCACATCGAGGTATGCGGACCACAGGTTCGTGACATTACCGAGACATCTCGAGTACACGCTTATTTTTTTTTAGTTTAAATATTTTCGAAATCGATCAATTTTATTTATTCTATCTTCATTATTCAGTTTCATTTAAATTTTGGTTTGTTAGAAAAGTTCTTACATATTTTAAGGGGTAATAAATTGTTTGTTAAATAAAACGCATTATATCAAGGAGCATAATAATCTTATTCTCTTAGATTTTGCCAATTTTATCTTTAAAGATCTGCTCCCTCCATGCTTATAGTTATGTTACTATAATGGCCGTACATACGGCCATACAGATGAAGCGCATTTCAGTTCTAGCTACCACAAATGTTTCTGATGAGAGGTGAATACCTCGAAACACGTGTAGAGCAATGTTGGAGTTCGAATAACTGAAAAGAAATGCAATCGTCTACTTTTATTTCAACGTCTTTTCTATACCAACAAATCGTAAGAGATATGTTTTCTAGAGATAAGAGATGTAAGAGATATATAATATTGGTGGATACCGTGTGAAAATAGGTTATATGTTATTATTTCTTGTAAGATTTTGTGGTTCCAGCTAGTTACAACTATAGGTGAGATAAAAAAAGAAATGTTGCTTCGAGACACGTCTTACGGTAATTTTCGCTAATGCAGAAGCTTATATTTTGGTTTACTTATTTTTAGATACTTATATTTAGATACTTGTATCTAGAATGCACTGGCTTGTGCAATATTGAGCCAATGTTTCGTCATCTTTAGCAAATCATCTTGCCCTTGTACTGGTGTTCCTCGGTTTAGTGTATCTGTTCTTGGTTTTTATTTGGTTGGTGTCCACCTTCCATTCTTTATCTTTGACACGTGGCCAGCCCATTTCTATATTAATCTCTAAACTCTCTTCACAACATCTCTGGTTCTTTTTCGTTATATCTCCGTTTGTGATCTTGTCTTGTATTGTTACTCCTATCATTGAACACTCCATCCTTCTTTGTGCTACTTTTATATCTTGTAATGTGTCATTACTGGCAGGACACACTGATCGAAGTATTTAAAATACTTCGTTTTTATTTATTTAAATAGGTTGCTGTTCATTCATGTGCTATTTTTCTATGAGCTGAATACATCACCTGTTTGGTTGTCCTTGCCTGTTATAACTTCGTGTCCAAGGTATGTATTTATCAGCAAGTTCTACTTCGTCTTTCTGAATTTTTAAATTTTTACTGGGCACAAAGTTTGTCATGTATTTTGTTTTGGGGATATTTATTTTTTAATCGATTTCTCTGCATGCTTTTTCTAGTTCTTCTACCAAGATGTTGATTTCGCCTTGGTCATCTATCAAAACTATGTCATCAGCATAACTCAGGTGGTGTAGTCTAATTATATAGTCTATTTCGTTTTTTGTTTTGCTATCCGAGCTTTGCCAAGTTCATCTTCTTTGTTGTTTTTTATGAAGGAAGTCGTACATTTGAAATAAGTTATTCTGAAGAAGACACCAACCAGGGCTTCTCCTATTTCGTTACGTTGGTCCTTAATTATAATATAGATGTCTCTTCAACACATGTTCTGCTGTCTGTTTTAGCATTATAATCACCACATATTATAACATGTTTATCACTGTTGATATTTCGTCGTCAAACTATTCAACTTTCTCGTCTTAATAAGATGAAGTTGGGGCGTAAACCCGAAGAATCTGTATTCTATATCTTTTCTTTAAGAGTTTTTTAAAATTGAATAAGCAACTCTACTTGAAATTTGTTTAACTTATGGTGACATTGTGCTTATGTATTTTGTGAACAAAGAATCCAATACCGCCCACTGAGGTATCTTCGATTCCAATGTGGTTAAAAGGTGACATGATTTGAGGATGTTTAAAATTTCTCCTCTGCTTCTGATTTCACTTACTTCTATTTTATCCCAGTTAATTTTTAATATTTTGCTTTCTATTTCTGTAAATCTTTCTTCTGATAAGAGACTTTCAATATATCCATTATAATTTTTATTTTTATACTAAAAATATCTGCGTTGCATGTAAAATATGTATAAAGAACTTTTCTATATATTTATTTTTAATTTTTACATAAGTTTTTTATTTATTAAGATATAATTATACTAAATTATTTTCAAAAGCTACATTTGAAGATGATCTCGGCAAATCACGTACTTTTTTAGTTTTTATTTTTATTTTGCAAACAATATGTACTCTTTACATTACACTTCACACTTTGTTGCTTATAAGCTAAAACATTTGTAGAGTTTCTATAGATTTTGTGAACAAATTGTTGATATTAACTTTTTGGTTATTTTATAAAAATTACGGTATTGTGCAAATTCGACAGTAGATCTAGGAAGTTTATCAAGTCCTTTCAAGTTTAGACATATGTATGTCACCTTTTCTTTGATTTCTTATTTTTTAAATGTATATATCTGTATATTTTCCCTTTTTCTTCATTAATCTTTGTCTTGGTTCTTCATATATTTTGCGATTCTATCTTTTTTTTTTGGTATTTTTGGTATGCTTCATCGTATACGCCGTTGCCTTTATTTGTCTAATTTTTGCGCAATAGTTTTTAATTTTACACTATATGGGCACATATATTATGAATTCTACTATAAAAGCTACTGGTTAATTTAATTCTTATTTCAATCTTATTCTCCAATTCCTAATTTTTTTACCTCAAAAATGTTTGTAATATTTTACTTTTGAAGGTATTCAGAAAATTTAGATCATATTTTTACACAAGATCTATAAGATTATGATAAAGGTGTCCGTAACAATAGGGAGATCTTAAAAATGTGAGATACACAGACAATGCAATTGTCTTCTCAGACAACTTGGACAATTTAAAATCATTATTAAACAGCATATTAGACATAAGTTATAATTATGAAACTATAAATGAATAAAAATTAAAACAAATATTGTTTTTCGTATCATGGTTCATAAGACAGCCATAAATGCACTCAAACATAGAAAGTAGAGGAGAAAGTATAACCCTAGAGATAACAAAACTAATACAAAAACTAATATTGTCCTGCAAGATACCAGGCGCATGGAGAAACAGCATAATGATACCAATGTTCAAGAAAGGAGATAAAGAAGACCTCAACAAGTATAGAGGTATAAATCTACTGAACACCGCTCTTAAGCTTACCACAAAAGTCCTAAATAACAAACTAACAACTTTATCACATGAACAAGAAGGATTCAGATCCGGAAGATCCCGCGATGGCGCCGTATTTGCACTAAGACAAATCACTAAAAAGGCCATCGAGTACAATAAATCAGCATATCTATGTTTTATAGACCTGACAAAGGCTTTCGATCGCACGCAAGTCCAAGACGTCTTACATCTACTGAATAAAAGAAACATACCAATCAATATCTATACAAAACTAACACATTGTATATTAGTACAAAGCAGAGTCAGACAGGGTGACTCGTTAAGCCCACTTTTCTTTAGAGGATAGAATAGTACGAATAGCTCGAGATAAGTCACCAAATGGACGAAGAAGTATTGGCAGACCAAGAAAAAGGTGCGACAATTTAAACAATTTAGGAGGCTAATATTGAAGAAGAAACAAGCTTTAAAGCCTACATACAAGAAGCAAAAAGAAGAAGAAGTATCATGGTCCGATACCAAATACTCAATTAATAATGAGCCACCTTCTGTTTAAATAGAATGAAACATAAACATATCTTGGCTGTGACGTCAACAGCTCCTAGGATCATTCGATATAAACATAGCAGCGTGTACCAAAAATTTAAAATGGCATGAATGGTGCCAGAGATTGAACAATACAATTAAAATAAGCAAGCTGGAATTTATGTGTCTTGTTATGAGAAACTAGAAGATTGCTTCAAGTAGTTTAACAAGGAAAAGTTTTGGATAACAGGGATAACAAGAAAAGGCGTCTAACCAATTGGAGGAATACGCCATAATTAGAATGACTCTTTTATGTTACTTATAATGGAAAGAATCGTTAGAATGTTTCTATAATTTAAGATTGAAAATTCCCAAAATGAGACTTTTGGCTCTGTATGAGTTGTATATATAATATGTAATAATTGTAGAATAATAATTATACTAATGTATTCAGAACAAACATTATCATTTTAGAGAAATTACATTATGCATAATATCGACATGCAACATGTAGTCATTTGGCATCATATCTATCTATGTGGGAAAGGACAATTCTAATAATTTGATGGATGGATTTAAAATAATTTTTGCATCATGCTTTATAGTTGTTTGCCTCGTTTTAATAAAACTAATATGGAGTAATAAACTTATACAACAATTATTACTTTTACCAATTTCAATCATAAATGTCGAAAAATTATTTTGTTTGGTCCTCGATTTAAGTTTTCTTCTTTCTCATTCTGAAACGTTTACATTGTCTTTTCCTGTTGGTTTTTTCTTGTTACATGTGATTTGATATGCGTAAAATTGTCGAATTACTGTAAAACCAAAATTGATATGACTATTAATAATAAATATGTTCCAGGTTCCTTCAAACTTCAGGTTCGTAGTTGAACAAACCCTTCGGGAGTTCTTCAAGGCGATCCAAGAAGGCCGTGATGCTGAGCAATCCTGGAAAAAATCCATCTACAAGATCATCTCGAGGCTAGATGATCCTGTGCCGGAGTATTTCAAATCTCCCAATTTCTTGGAACAACTTGAGTGACGGGTTAGTGATATCCGATCAAAAGGAGTACCTCAAGGTACTGCCTGTTAGCGGTTCTCGTCCGACAGGCCCCAACACCAAAGAGAATCGGTGACGTATCTCACAAACTGTCAACAGTTTTTGTTGTTTTTATTGGTTTTGAAGACGTCGACGTTCAGAAGAACCTTGCCATCTTTGAAAATGTTCGGACATTTGTTGAATAGTTGTGTTAAGTTGGCAGAAAGACTTAATAATTATATGCCTCTGGCTTTGCGTTCGTTCATTGCGAACAGTGAATACAATTCTACAGTGATTTACCTGAATATTTACCGGATAATAATTATACAAAGTCAAGTCCTAAGTTTCTACAAACCAGCAGTTAGCAAAGTTCAAAATCTGCACTCTTTTTTATTTGATTTTGGGCAAGGCCACACTAAACCAACACAAATAACCCTCCTGATGTTTAGGGAATTTTAACAAAGTTGCAAATTACTTTTTACCAAAGAGCAAAGTTAGAATTTTTTCTATTAACAAAAACCATTATTAAACAACTTATAAAATACCATAGAACCAAAGAATAGAAGCTTTTATTTTTTACCTCATATATATTTGTATGTACTATTGTTTACATAAAATGTGATCGACATAAATACACATAAACAACGAAAGCATTTTTAAAACTGAAAATCACTAGTTTCACAACAATAGAAAGCAGTTAAAAATCTTAACTTCGCTTTTTACAACGATGTAACTATTTTCTAAACATTGGAAGCATTGTCCAAAACATACCTAATGTCAGTATTGATTTAGTATGGCGTGGCCCATAGGGCATGTTCTTGTTTACTGCCACTGTAAACTGCTGTGTATACCTGTTTGTATATAGATCTAAATGTACATAGTATTTATCACTTATTTTTATTTATATTATTGACATTCCTAACCAAAGTTTTATTTTTGCTAGTCGTCTTAGTTTTATATTTTTTTATGTTGGTACCGCACACCGAGAGCTTTGTACAATTTTTCACATATATATTTATCTCTCGCTGTGCTGTACCATATTTTATTATTTTTTAGTACATCACATCTTGTTTTTTGTATTAAATACAGACGGGTGTGATGTACTTTCAATTATTAGGTAGATATGCCTATTTTAATCAAATCTTGCATCTTCAAATTTTCCAATTACATTTTTTATATTCACTTTTTAAAATATCTATATTAGCTACATTTAACAACTATGGTGGGACGTCAACCAGTAGGAAGACCAAGGAAAAGGTGAATGGAGAAAGTGAGAACCGATGCTAAAAACATATTGAAGGACATTATCAGAGGAAAGAATTGGTAGAGCCCAGGGCCCGATTTCGGCCTAATGCCATTGTAGAGATGTAGCTAACATAACACTGACGTTTTAGAAGACAATAAATGAAATATAATTAACTCAAAGCAGTTCAATAATTTTTATTATATTCAATGTTAAAACAATACGAAAAATTACCCATAGATTTAATTTACTGGATTCAACTGTTTAATTTTATTTTATACTTAGATATATCTTGAAGATGCAACATTTGAAACAACTCTTCCCATTTTCCCAAATTAATTTCTGTCTTTTGTTGTATTATTTCAGTTTAGACTAGTTGCTATATTGTTTTTTTTTTATTTGTAGCATATTTACCTAATAATTATTTTATTTTAAGAACACATGCACGAATATTAGTGTAGTTATACACGATCTCCAAACACTGTGTGAGGCAACTAGTCATGTATTAAGTAAAATATATTTAGTTTCAAATTTTTTTTTGTTTTTTTTTTATTTTCTGGAGTATCTTACACATTACAATATTTTTCACAATAATGTTTTTAAACTGATATTAAAACATCAACGAAATTGTTACATTCAAGAACTTAGTTGCATATTTCATTTGAATATTATCTGTTGATGTTGTTATTGTTGATCTGTGTTGACCAATAGCAATTGAATAACTAAAAGGGGATAACCATAGAAAACCAACCGTTGTAATTTTTGAGTATTTTTGGTCTAAATAACACAAAGAATCAACAGTTATCAATACTAATTATAGAAACACATATTTTCAATTCATTAAATAGTCTCCAAAAGATAGAGCTGCAAAAACGTTTAACCGCAATAGCATCTCTTCTTCTTCTTCTTCTTCTTTAGATTATTGGCCCTCACCTACTTAGGTATTTGGCCAGCTCACTTACAATTTGGAGTTAGTATGAGACATGCAGAACAGTGGTAAAAGCTTTTCTTCCTTAAAGGCAACTGCCGAGCATTAAACAATTTTGAAATGTTCCCTCGGATAGATATAATAAAAAATTTCTTTGCTTTATGTAGTCGTTCTTGTAGCCTGTTACAGTGAATATCGTTTTCTTGAGCACCATTCACCTTCCTGAATATCTTTATTTAAGAAGATTTTATCGAAAATATTCTTTTCATTCTTTGATTTATTTTGATATCGTTCGTTTTAATTATGTTGATTTGGCTTATTTCCTCATTTAGATCATCATTTAACCAATCTCCTCCACTACTGGATTTAGGCCTCCTTTGTCTCTTCCAATGTTGTCTATACCCACTGGGTTATTTAAATCTCCCTTCCATATGTCACGGTTGACCACAAAACACCAGTTTTTATAAAATTTTAGCAGTATGTGTAATCAGTAATAAAAATTTTTGATCTTACTGGGGTTGCTCCATTAAAATCCATTTTTTCTTGTTTACATTGTAGATATTTTCATTTCCTATGTCTCACAGATATATTGTAGTTGGTTTATTTCATTTTGTAGTTTACATTTTGTTTCAGAACCTATCTGCAGGTCGTCTGCAACTAGGAGATAATTAAGATGATATTTTTACCAAAATATATTCCTTTTTTCATTGTTTAATCATCTTTGGCTTGAGAATCTTCTGTGGATCCTGGCCTGTTTTAAGATTCGTCGCCATATTATTCGGTTTCTGGCAACGTGTCTCCATCTAGTATCCCTAAATTGGTCTCAACTATATCTAACCAGCTAATTCGCGATCGAGCTTCTTCTTCCTATAGGTGTTATTGTCGTTAGCGTTTTAGTACTCTTATTTTCAGGCATTCGTATTAGGTATCCAGCTCATCTAATTCACTGTGTTTTAATGAACATTACGACATATGGTTCATTAAAAAGTTGGTATAATTTGAAATTATATCTTTTGGGCCACTGCCCTTGATTGGGCCATTGATTCATATACCTAGCCAAGGTATATGAAGCTGTTAACACAATCAAAGATGTGGCTTCTAAAGGCTGTTTCGTGTTCCTCATTTGCTATAGAATTCTTAGTAACCAACATGTACCTGGTTTTGTCTTCGTTGATGACTAAACCGACCTGTTTTGTCACCGTTTTCAATTCTAGGAAATATTGCTCAACATGTCGTTTGCTATTATGTTAATGTTATCAGCGTATGCTTAGACTTGTATCGATCTTTTGTAAATAGTACCACCATCTCTACTTCGTGTGTGTCGGACTGCCTTTCCCAAGGCAATGTTAACTAGGGGACAAGCAGGGCATCCTCTTGTCTGAGTCCGTCCTATATCTCAAAGGATCGAGAATTTTCTCCCTGTATCCTAACGCTGGCTTTTAAGTTAGATATTTTCATTCTCGTTAATGGGATAATTTTTTTTTGTATACCAAACTCACGCATTGATTGGTATTGCACTGTTCTTTTAACACTGTTGCATGCGGCATTGAAGTTGACGAATATATGATGGGTTTCAGGATCTGATGGTTTGAGGATCTGTCTTATTGAATGAATATGGTCAATTGTTGATTTTTCAGGAGTAAATCCGACCTTGTAGCCTTTCATAGAGAATATTTGCTAGTATTTTGTAAACAATTGTTAACAGGGTTATACCTCTGTAGTTGTCACACTGGAGCTGGTCGCCTTTTTTATGTAACGTAATATGACACTAGAGTTCCTTGAACAGCCGTTACAATGTCAGATATTTAGTTCAATAATAATTTGGCAATATATCAAACCTTATTGAGGTTTTCATTTTAGTTTGGCTACTTTAAAGCCATATTTCTATTATTTACTCATGTATCATCGGATCCTTTGTTCTTAAAATTAAAAACAAATCGTAGCATGATTCTAGTTCCGTAAAATAACGCAATTATATTAAAAACTTCATACGTTTTCCTTGGCATGTTGATCAATATCTTCTTAACCGATGTTGGCCACCAGCATGGCTATTCTAACTTTATTGACTAATGCTCTACTCTGTTTGATACTCTATGATATTCTACGAATTCTCGGGCCTCTCTTACCATGTACCTCACGCTGCATAATTATTTGGAGCAGGCTGTACCGTTGTTTGTTGCGCATTACGCATCCATATATTCCAGTTTGATTTGTATTATAACCATGATTATTTGGCAAGCAAGTCTTTCTCATTATTTACAAGACCTCATTATTAGTAACTGATTCCATCCAAGAGAGTCTCAGTATACGACTGTAGCACCACATTTCAAATGCTTAAAGAGTCTTCATGGATACCTCCACGATTCCACTTCGTTTAAAAAATGGAGAAAACATAATATCTCAGCAAGCGGACCTTCATTGGGAGTAGATAATGACTACTGAAAATATTTTTTATTTTGATAAATGCTAATCTTGTCTTCTTAATCCTTACTGCTATTCCCGAGAGTGTTTTTACCGATAATTCAAATTTGTGCCCAGAGAGCAGTAATTGGTGACTCGTTCTATTGGTTTCTTGATTGACCAACAGTCCAGGTATAATGTTGTTTCTACTGATGATCATATAGTTTGAAAATCTAAACTTAATTTTTCACTTTCGTCTGCTATTCTTGTAGTAAGCGCCTACAGACCTTCATCAACTTACTTATTTGATCAACATAATTCCATCATTAACATACTTACTTTAAATAGTAGTCTTACAGATATGGTATATACTTGCGTGTTCTGTCTTTCCATCTGTCTGAAGCTGAAAATCATAGCTTAGAAATGGTACATCAGATTTCAACCAAACTTGGTGAACAGGTTAATATGACTCATAATATGACAATACCTTGATGCTCATTCTTTGTGATTGTTGGCAATCACGTTCCTCCTTTGTTGATAGCGTTGATTTGTCCTCTAAGTAAATGCACGGTCATCGTTTTCGTCATTAGTTATGATGTACTTGATACCTCTGAGTTCCACATCTTGTTTCATTCGGTGGATACTGGCGTTGTTTGTAACATGATAGATGTCTAGAATTATAAGCATGTAGCAGTTTTTTAAAGGTTTTAAGTCGTTCAGAGTTTGGCTGTTAAACTGAATATTTCCAAGGTAAATATGTCACGAACATCAAATTCACACATATGTTACAAGCCTAAATTCAAACAACTTAGGAATCCTGGGAGATATCCCGGGGATAGAGTAAGAGGTAAACTAATTTAGTTATGATAATCTGTGGCATGTGAGACATCACGAGACACGAAAGATCCAAAAAAGAGTTACTTGAAACTTGAATAACAAAAAAGAACAACAAAAACAAGGTGGTTCAAGGAGCTGTTGTGTCCCTATGTAATACTAGTTTTTAAAGCAATAATAGTAATAGAAAATAAATAATATCAGTTTAATAAATATTTTGTGTATAAATATGTTTCTTGTATAAAGATTGCCAGTATTTTCGGTTTTATTTTATTCGTAGAGTAACTTATCTCCATTGACAGTTTACAGTGGAGTAAAATGTTTCGGGAATAGACCATTTTGAGCCGCGGCAAAAGCCGGATTTAAAAAAATACCAGTATGAAATTTGTATATAAAAATAGTAAGAGCTCAGTATTCCTTCTCATCCCACAATAGTTACAGCCACATCATTGTCAGAATAACAATCTGGTCCCGAGAAAAATTATCTTAGTCTACAACTAGACTATGAAATCGTGATTTTGCTGTTCCTAAAGTTATATATTCGAAACTGCCGAAATTCGAAAGACTGCCATTCATTTAAGATTTAGTTGAAATTTATTTCTCTTTAAAAAATTTAGTTTCCTTTCAAAATTAATCGTTTGGATGTTTTAGAAAATTTTAAGTTCATTTTGAGTTTAACTCGGGACCTTAACAGGTACATTACATTAAAAACGTTTTTTGAAAAAAATTAATATAAGATAGTTATTTATTAGAATAAAAAGTATATAACGTTGTCGATTGTAAAGTACCCACCCATGCGGTCAGTTCTCAAACAACTAAACGCCCAATTCTTCAAATCAAATCTGTAATTAAATTTTTCGAATATTTCGAAACACTGAAGAGCAATAAAAATTAAAAAAAAAATAGAAAAAAAATATATAAACAGTACTAAGTTGGTAGTTATAGGACCAAATACCTATTTATAAAAAAAATCTATTCTGTGTGTTGCTGAATTGTATGCTCTGGAATATTCGTTATATCTAAATCAATTATAGGTTGCTCCTTGACGTTTTAAAAATACAGCAGTTTTCAAAATGTTTTTATCTCATGATTTTTAAAATTGTCACATGACAATTGTTGAACAAATACATCTGTATTCGATAGACGTGGTGAAATCAAAAGTTTTTACGAAACGAGAAACCAATTTAGTCTTCAGTCAATGCCAAAAGGAAATATTCTGTAAACTGCGATATTTTAAATTGTACAAAGTCTATCTTCAGTGTTCCGAAACGGATAAACGTATTTGTAAATAAGCTTTTCTCCATACAATAGATGTTAAACCGGTAGGAATTGCACATATTCGGTGTTCTTTTTGAAATATACTAAGAAA